TCTTTTTCCTTTAATGTTACCATGTCGGAACGTGATACTCCGATCCAATTATGTCGTGTACACAGAGGATTTCACAATATCATTCAATGCATATCAATCACTATTAAAAGTCTATCTATTAAATAGAATAAACCATAATCTACCGTTACCGAAGAATCAAAGTCAAGCAAGCTACTCTTCCAATGTTTTTTCTTTCCTCAATGCCTCGGAATATTTTTAATCTATCAAGTATACAAAATTGCAAGTTAACGAGTCTCTAGGCACCCATGCTACTATATGTCTAGCATAAATCCAAAATTCACCAAATTCTATAATCAATTTCCTAAAATTCAAGCTTAAGGGTAAATCTTAAACCTCCCTTTAACATAACTTTTAATGTAATTCATATAATATAATACACCTAATATTAAATTTTCTTATCATAATATACTAAAATTTAGTTTATAATATAATAAAGGCTTAAGTCATATGTGGCCCCTTAAAGTTGTCTGCATAATTCATTTAAACACATTAACAAAGACTTGTACCTATTAAACACTTTAATTATTCAAAACGTGGGTTTATTGAGCACAAAATGCTGACGTGGCTCAATAAGTGTATCTCACAACCTAGGAGCGCGTGAATATATTCCTATTTTTTTTAGAATAAATTTTACTCTTTTTTTGTCCTAATCAGCATTAATTAATACAACTCAAAATATTTTTTTATTTAAAATAATATTTTTGACCAAAAAGAAAGCAACCCTACCCATCCTCACCCCACCCCTGTGGGCTATACCAATTGTCTTCTTTTCACCCCATTTATGCACTTTGTTTTTTTCTTTCATTTTTATTTTTACTCTTCATTAAGTGAAATTGAATTTGTTAAAAGAATTTGTAACAAGAAACAAATGGGACATCAAAACTATAAAAACAATCTTTGTTCATTTTTTTCTAGTCACTTCGATCAACAAATATTACCAACCATTATTTAAAATGATATCAGAAAATTTGATATAATTCATTTGAATCATCTTGATTTCTCTTTATTATTGATTTTGAAATAGTTCATCAAAATAATTTATCTACGTCAATTTTTTTTCATAAAGAATCTTAATAATCACTCCATTAATATATCATACTTCATAATTCATTTCACTATTTGCATTAGATTTGATTTCAAAAAGATTAATCTTTTCAAAGGAATAGAGAATGAGAAGTAATTGATGATGAAGAAGAAGAAGATAAGACAAATGATTAGGTTGACGAACTTGGAGGAGCTGGTGGGGGAGATTTTCTTTTTTCTTCTTTTTGGGCCCATGTGCCACATGCTGCAATTTTATTGGCTACTTTTCAAAAATAGTGTGCGTGAATTACACACACAACATTTTAAAAACTTATTATTATTTTGTGTTTAATAGGTACATTTATGTTAATATTAGAGTGTCTAATAGGTACTAGTCTTAGTTGAGGTGTTTAAGTGAATTATGAGGACAACTTTAGGGGCCGCAAATGACTTAAGCATATGAAATTAATAAATTTTGGAGAAAAGACATAATGTGACACCTGAAGTTGTCCCGAATTTTCAAAAATACATCTAAACTATGCAAGAGTCCTATTACCCCCCTAAACAATTCTAAACTGATATTATTACATCATTTATTGTCCACCCGGCATGGAGAGTGTATGCACTCTCTTAGAGAGCGTGAAAAAAAAATGAATATAATTTTATTTTTGTAAGTATTTTGTTATAAAATACATTTTCTTGTTTTTCTTATTATTTTAACTTTTTCTCCATATTATTTTTTTCTTTTTCTTTCTTTCTTCCTTCTTCTTCAAAAAATCATTTTCATCTTAATTGAAATTCCTCACTTTAAATGTCACTTTTTATCATAATTTCATCTCCCCTTTTTACTACTATTAGTTTAACTATCTCTTTAATTTAAAACTATATCTAAACACTATATTACATTCGAACAATTTGATAAGCACATTAGATTTCAAGATGATTAGTAGGTATTATTTAGTTTTTTAATCCAAATTTCAATTAAATTTTTTCATATTTAGGAGAATTATGATTCTTTCAAAATTATCGTTTCTAGTTTTGAAATTATATGAAAATGAGCTAAATTTGAGATGATTAGGGAGTATCATATAGTTTTTGTTTTATCGAATTTCAATTAAGTTCTTTCAATTTTTGGAAATTAATTTATTCTTTTAAAATTATGATTCTAATTTTGAATTTATATGAAAATGAGTAGTTGATGATACTTCAAAATTTTAAATTATTTTTAAAAATAATTAATTTTGTTATCAATAATTTAGTAAAGTATAAATAATATTATGAATATAATTTGACTGGAGAAGAAGAAGAAAAAAAAAGAAAAAAAATGGGAATGAGATTCAATTTGACATGAGGGGTGGGAGGTGAAGAAAAAAAAATGAAGAAAGATGCAAGATGGAATGAAATTTAAAATAAATCAAAATTAAAAGCCAAAAAGTAAGAGAGAGAGAAATAAAAAAAAGAGATAAAGGAAAACTTAAAATGAAAAAAAATAATATATTTTTAATTAAGTTAACACGTGTCGTATATTGATTGGTATGCGAACACACTTGCTTTTTAAAATTTGGAGCTGATTGAAAATGATATAATAATACCGATTCGCAATTATTTAGTGAAGGAATAGGACAGTTATAAAGTTGAAGCGTCTTTTTAAAAATTCAAAACAATTTCATTGATTATTTTACAATGTCATACTAGCCTATTCCTAAGGATTTGCAATTACAAGTATAAATTCACCCAATCATTGAAAAATATTAGGCAAAAGAAACAATCTATATTGTTAACCAAATTAGAACACGTTTCACGCTTATAACTTCATTCCGTTTCAATTCTCTTCCATTTTTCAGTATAATAAAATAAGAATAACAAGGATTAGTACTCATCAATCTATTCATTTTTTTATTCAATACTTTAAGTATAACAAAACATTAACCTGCTAATAATTTATTTCTACTACTACTCCAAGCCAATTATTAGTATCGCCACAGAGCAATTAATTATCACATTTTCCCCAACTCAAACTTGTCCCTTTAAGTACTCATTCTAACATAAAACCAATTTAATTGTTTTAATTTTTGTTCTCCCAAGCCAACACAACACATAACCCTTTCACAAACATGCAATGTACATGAATTATTATTTTCAATTCTCAAGTAAAAGAGTCACATGAAGCACTCGTGATTTTGCTTCGTTCAAACATCTCTTTCTGCTATTCCCCTCTAATCCTCTTTTCTTTTCTTCTATAAATTATTTATTATCCTAATTATTATATGATTAATTATAAAAAAATGGTAAAAGTGATCATTATTAAT